TAACAAAGGACAAATTTTTAAAAGGGGCCTTTTTTAAATTTTATATAGCAAAACCGACCTCATTGGAAATTAATCTGCAAAACCGATCCTTTTCTTCGGAATATGGTTGGTTTTGCAGTTGCGGTGTTTTTTCGAGCTACACGGGACTGCTAGTCCCTTGTAGTTTGGTCAACAATTGAAATGCACGAAACTAGCAGTCCCGTGCACTTCTTTTTTAACCCGTGACCCCCTTATTTGTGAGTGTGGGGCCCAGGCACGTGAATTGTTTCACGTGAACGAAGCGAAGCCGAATTGTTTCACGCACCCAAGGCCCACGAATGTCTTCATCAGGCTATAAATAGCCACATTATTTTTTCCTAGGTTTGCGCGCAAGGAGGCAGGCAAATTGGTTGGGTTCTTTTCGCTGGCGGCGGCTTCGTGCAAACAGGGAAAGCCGACAGAGAGCAGTGCGAGGTGGGTTTGTTTTGTCGGCTTGGGATTTCTTCAGCAAGCGAAGGAGGGTTTTGATCTTTTGCGGCTGCGGGAAAATTTGCTGCATGAGATTTAAGTGCAGGCTTTTGTGTTTCTTTCTTTTGTGAGAGATATTTGTGAGGGATTTGAGAGTTTGTTTGAGGGTTTAGTTTGAGAGTGATTGTAAACCCTAGTTGTATTCTCTCCCTCTATTAGTAGATCTCCCCCCTCCTTGCCCCGTGGACGTAGGCAATTTGCCGAACCACGTTAAAAATTGGTTGTACTGCTTTTGTGTGATTTGTAATAGCTTTTAGGGTCTCTCGACGCGCAGTCCTAGAGCTGACGAGAGGAAGAGCTAATATCCTACTTTGATAGGATATAGGCTTTAGATTCTTGTTCCCTTTGAGAAACAAGAATTCTTATTACGATCTGACTCTCTTGTTGTGCTGCCGAAATTTCCGCTGCGCGCAACATTATTGACCCGTGACTCCTCCCCTCTCTCGCCCCTCTCTCCTCTCTCGCCCCTCTCTCGGCTCCCTCTCTCGCCCCTCCCCTCTCTCTACTCCGCCAACCCCTGCCGACCCCGCTGACGAAGCTCCTGACCACCACCGCCGACCAAGCTTCGACCAAGCTCCGATCAATGTAAATTTTTTTTAATTTTATTGTTAAATTTGATGAGGGATATGAATTGGGAGTTAGAGTTTAGCCATGAAATTTTCTTTTTAGTTGAGATTTAGGATTAGGGTTTAACCATGATCATTGTGGTTAAGGTTAAGCCATGAATATTCATGATTACGTTTAGCCATGAATAATGTGATTTGGGATTAGAGTTTTTTTGCTTTTCAGTTGAGATTTGGGTTTAGGGTTTAGCCATGAATAATGTGATTTGGGATTAGGATTTTATGAATAATTTTTAGTTATAATATGATTAGGGTTTAGTCATGAATAATGTGATTTGAGATTAGGGTTTTTAGCCATTATTTGCTTTTCAGTTGAGATTAGGGTTTTAAATTTGATTCTAAATTAAGATTAAAATTTTTAGTTATAATAGATTATTTACATATGATGAGCTGTTAATTTTCAGCTTCGATGGCAAACTCTATACCCATTATTTGCCTTTTAAATGGGAGCCTCGGCGTCGAATTGAATAGTATGCCTATGTATGAGGGAGGTTCTAGGAAAATGTTTATGCTATCTAACTCATGTAATTTTGATGGAATGATGAATGAAATACACATAGTTACTACAATTAATAAAGCAGAGTATGCAATTAAGGTGTTCTTCAACTGTCTGATATGAGAGTAGAACTATTGATGTGGAGATTACCGACGATGATGAATTGAATGACATGAAATAATTAGTCGAGAAACAAGTGTCAATTGAGTTGTTCATTGAGAAGTATCCGATTCACGAATTTGCCCAAGTTTCACGACCTCAAGGAGAGTTTTCTCGGATGCTTGACTTAGACAATGAGTCGAGATATTTTATGACATCTCCAAGTCAAGATCCGTGGTTTCAACTACAACATTTAAGTGGTCATTCTCTTGGTGGGACGTCAAGTACTATTTTTAACAACGGTTTGGGCCATGTTACGGGTAATTTACTGACCGGATCAATTGTAGAAGAAGAAGCAAATGATGACTCAGGAGATATTGAAGAAGAAGACGTGCAAATTGATAGCATGCAGGTGGCAGCTGGAATCGATGATGACTCCCGTTGGATGGAACAATTTAATGTTAACAATGATTATGTAGAAGCTGAAAATCCATTACCCGACGAGTTTCATAATGAGAAAGGTAAAGAATAGGAGGCCAACAAGAGGACTGAGCAACTGAGCATCAAAATTATATACATAGATGGAATGATAGACATTTTTGTATTGTTGAGCAAATTGAACCAACTCCCCGGGAATCAGATTACTACACTTGGTATTGGGGGATAACCAGAAGATGGATACTCCATGAGACCATAGCACCGGTTGAGTTGCAAAAAGGATATGTGTCTCGGGGTATAGATGAGAGAGAATTAGTAAGTATTTTCAAAATTTTTTGAACAACTTAGTTCATTTTTATTGGTATTTTTCAATATTGCTAACTTGTGTTTTTTTAAAAATTTACAGGTATCAGCAATAGATGATGTTAAAACCATTGCAAATCATGGCATGGAATTGGCTCGAGCATGTAATATAGAATTGAATATGAAATTTACATTATGTAATTTAAATTTTAAAGTAATTTTTGCATTTCCGATTTTTTGAATTACCCTCACATGTACATCTCCCGAAGCACAGGAACATGCATCAATATACCAGTCAATAATGCGGAGGCTTCACCAAGCCTTACACCGAACTCACGAAGACATTCATGATGGACGAGAGGTAACGCAATTCGTATACACGCGTCAACCACAACAAAGACGAGGACGACGCAGAAACGACAATGAAGCCGGGCCTTCCCAATGTGTTGACGACGGAGCTGGACCGTCACAACCACAAATGCAACCGGATCACGAACTCATCAAAGGTCAGGATGGAGGAGGCCGAAGACAAAGGAGGAGGAGAAGAGTTTTTGGATGTATGCAAACTGATCAATATTGTTATATACATTACAATCCTATTTTGGTATGTACATTACAAATCTATTTCGGGATGTGAGATGGTTTTTGGATTTGTAGCCGAGACTATGGTGTGATTTATTGGATTTGAAAGTGGGTTTGAGGTGTGATTTGTTGGATTTGTAAGTGGGTTTGTGGTGTGATTTGTTGAATTTGTAAATGAGTTTGTGTTCGTGGTGTAATTTATGATTTTTAGATTTGATATATGAGTTTATGCAAGGAATTGACAGGAAATGCAATGGTGTAATTTATGATTTTTAGATTTGATATATGAGTTTATACAGGGAATTGATAGAAAAAGGAAAAGCAACATGTTCATGTTTTTGTGCACAAGAAATGCACAGGACTGCTAGTCCCTTGCATTTCTTTTGTGTCCCAAAAAGCACAGGACTGCCAGTCCCGTGCAATTGGTTTGTGACGGAAAAAGTCTCTGCTTTTTACTCAGGACTATCAATCCCGAGTAAAAAGCCAAGACTATCCGAAAGAAAAAATTGAAATGCATGGGACTAGCAGTCCCGTGCATTTCAATTGCTGGCCGAACTACACGGGACTGCTAGTGTCATGTATCTCGAAAAACATCGCTGCTGCAAAACCGACCCTTTTCCGAAGAAAATGATTGGTTTTACAGATTAATTTCTAATCAGATCGGTTTTGCTATATAAAATTGAAAAATGGCTCATTTTAAAAATTTGTCCAATAACAAAAGGCCATCTCCTCTTTTCCCATCCAAACCCCAATCCCAGTCAGGCAACTTCAAACATTAGCGATGCTCAAACTTTTTAGAAAAGGGCATCTATGGATTAAGTTGAAGAATATTCCACCTTTTTCGTAGAATAGAGAATCATTTCGTTGATAGGGGCACGCCCCCAACCACATCTCAAACCATACCTCTTCTCTCATATGCTACAGTACACCGGGCGCCACATGGGATTTTAAAATTTTTAAATCTCATGTGACGCCCGGTTCACTGTAGCATATGAGAGAAGGGCTGTGGTTTGGAATGTGGTTGGGGTGTGCCCCTATTGCCACCCTAATGCTAAAACTTTATACTGGTTTTGTTGCTGTGGATGCTATGACTGCTGTCGGGTCTAAATTTATAGCTTTTTAATGGCGATTAGGGTTTTATCCCGACGCCATCTCCATCGAGCCCTCTCCTCGCCCATCCAAATTACTCCAAACCCCCCTCGAGAATTCCAATCTTTATCAGGACCCCCTGATCCCCAGCCCCAAATCCCGTTGCAGTCCCCAGAAATCGCCCAATTCAACCGTCACCAAATCGCCGCAGCCAACGCATTGCTGAGGTACGGCTTCCCTCGCTCCGAACTCCTCGGGTTCATCCGAAAGAACCGATTTTTATCCGACTCGACGCGCTCCGACGTCGAGAGTTGCGTTCGGGCCCTGCTGTCATTTGGCCTTACCCAGAATTCTCTCACTTCGGTCCTCCTCAACTGCCCTAGGGCTCTGCAGTTAGGGTTTGCAGAAGAATGGAGGTCGGCCCTTTTGGGATTCGGGTTCTCCGCCGTCTCCCCGTCCCTGATCTCGAGGGTTCTCGCGCAATCCGGGAAGTTCCGGATCGAGCCGGAGGATTTCTGCAAAGGTGCTCGTGCGATGAGGAGCTTGGGGTTTAGTGATGGGACGATAATTAGGGTTTTTGAGGAATTGCCTGCCGCGTTCACGAGGGAGCCCGTCGAGGTTGGTCGGAGAGTTGAGGTTTTGGTTGATTTTGGGATCGAGAAGGAAGAAGTCGATAGGATTTGCTTCGAGTTTCCAACCTTCTTAGCGTTTGGTGTGGACGGGAGGTTGGGGCCTTTGTTTCAAGAGTTCAGGGGTCTGGGCTTTTCTCTGAATGAGGTGAAGAGCGTTTTGCTTGGAAATGCGAGGCTCCTCCTATCGATGGAAGCGGGGGAAATGTCCCGGTGCTCGGAGTTGATCAGAAGCCTGAAGTGCCGAGCCCCGATTAAGGAGAAAATTCTGTCTAAGGGTCGTCTCAGGGCCAGTACTGACGTGAAGCTTAGAGTAGATTTCTTATGCAAGTACGGTTTGATCAAGAGAGACGCTTTCAAAGTTCTGTATCTAGAGCCAAGATGCATCTTATATGAGCTCAGGGACATCGAGAAGAAGATTAATTTTTTGATACAAAACATGGGTTTTACGGTCGAACATTTGTTGGAGTTTCCAGAGTACTTGGGTGTGAGTTTGGACAAGCATACGGTTCCGCGTTTCAACGTCATCGAGCATCTGAAATCGATAGGTGGGCTCGGTTTCGACGTGCAGTTCAAGCATTTTGTGAGGCTTAGCAGGCTAAAATTCTATAACTTGTACGTGAAGCCTTACCCAGAGTGCGAGAAAATATTTGGTGGAGTTGTTAGGGAGAAGGAAGTTAGACCTCGGCATCCTCCTGGGCTTTGGAAGATGTTTAAGCCTAAGAAGTTTCCTGATAGCAGAGAAGATGTGAGGAACATGAAGCTCTTTGTGGAGTCTCTGGTTTAGATTAGATGCCAATGAGCTGTGAGCACTGTCTTTTTAAGGAACACGTGAAGGTGATCGAAAATAACCTGGCGCCCATCCATGGAAGCATGATAAGTGACATTAAGGGCGAGTTCAAGTTGATCTGAAGCTCCAATTCAGCAAAACTTCCCACTAACTGAGAATAGTTATTTTGGAGCGTTACCGGGGGTGGGGTCAAAAGATCTCGGTTAGAAACCCAGATATTGATTAACAGAATGGAAGAGTTATCGCTCAGCAGGATTTAGTGTAAGAATAGGATTCATGTAGCTGACTCTGAAAACTACGGACAAAGGCTCTGTTCTTCTTGTTGTTGTTCCACCGGATTACCAGTCTGCAACATTTTACAGTTTGAAATTTCGGTGTTTCACATATTCCAGTTCTAGTTTGGGTTTTGATGTATAGAACTCCTAGGATTTCTGGCATGCCCTTTCAAAGATGACAGTGGCCTGATGAAACAACGATCACACACGGTGAAGCCTGCATATGCTCGAGCTTGCCTATTATGTTGACATCTTCATTCTCTTGTTACTCTTAAACACGGTGAAGCCTGCATATGCTCGAGCTTGCCTATTATGTTGACATCTTCATTCTCTTGTTACTCTTAATACCTCTGGCTGTAAGAAAGCTCAGGTCTGAATTCTTTCGTTTCACCAGAATTGTTTGATGATCGGCTGATGTTGTAACTTTTAATGTAAGGATGTTGCTGGACTGAGTATTCATTAGTGTATGTACTATTTGTGATCAGAATAATTTGTCGAAAAATAATTGAACTGTCTCTTGAAGCAGTGTTACACTGGTATGTTTAACAAATTGAGAATGCGCAAATAAATGAAGTACTCCGAGTGAGAGGTAACAAGACTCAAATCAATTAAGACTACAATCAGCATTTTCCCAGGTTATGCACTGGTAAATTGTTATTCACAAAAGCAAAAGCAAAAAAGCCAGGTCTAAATGTGAACAATACTTAAAAAGTTCGAAGAAGAAGAAGAAAGAAAAAGAAAGCGCAATCGCAAACAGAGCACAAATGTTTCAACTAATGAAATTAGCATTAAGGGGCAGGATTGCTGAACTGGAGCCTTCTTCATTCTCAGAAAGTAAGTATATCAAGTGATTTTGCAGCAGATACAATCACAAGTATATTCCGCAGTCTTATAAATGATCTTATGTTTCCTGTAATCTTAGCTCCGACTAAACTTTATAACTATATTTCAACTTTGGGTCCTTCGAGTTGTCTCTTCACAAGCGCAGTGTAGATGCCATTGTTGCTCAGGAGTTCTTCATGGGTACCACTTTCAGCAATCTGACCATCCGATATAACTGCAACTGTATCTGCACTTTTAACCGTTGAAAGCCTGTGTGCTATCACAAGGACTGTTCGCCCTTTCATTAGAGAATCCATGGCATCCTGTAATCATCAAATCCCATGAGAAGAACACATTAAAAGAAGCGATTTCACATGAACACCCCTAAATCATAACCCCCTGAACTTGGGGTTATGCACAAAAAAAAAAAAAAAAAAAAAAAAAAAAAAAACTGAAGATCTATAAACCATAATCCCCCAACTTCTAAAATTAAACTGAATCCTTCTGAACTGCTGTAAATTCTCATAAACCGTGCTAATGTGTAGGTTTAAAAAAATAATTATAAGCTGCCTTTTTATTTTCTTACCTACGCTTATCCACAAAGGGTAATATATGAGTTATACCTAGTGGATAGGGAAAATTTTGCTACAAGGTTTTCATGTACGCTTCATGTCAGCTTCAAGTAACTGTCGTCAATTACTCAAGTGAGACACGTTCGACTTTTTTTTTTAATTAAGATTTTATAAAGTTTCAAAGGCTTTTGCGCAGAAGTCTCCAAAGGTGACTGAGATTTTATAAAAATTACCATAAAAAGAAATATAGGTGTACATCACTATATATTTTACCAGTAACTCCAGAAAACATGTTATACTGAAACTCCAGCAATCAAGATATGTTATCCTTTACAGCAATATGAGGTAATTAGATTCAATTGCTGATAGTACCTGCACAAGGTATTCACTCTCTGCATCAAGAGCACTCGTAGCCTCATCCAAGAGGAGAACACGAGGGTTCATCAATAAAGCCCTTGCAATTGCTATTCTCTGCTTCTGTCCACCAGACAGTCTTATCCCTCTTTCCCCAACATAAGTTTTATATTGATCAGGAAATTTTGACACAAATTCGTGTGCATTAGCCATTTTCTGCAGGTTTCAGGCAAAAGCAATATTTCAAGCTTCAGATTGTGGTATGAAAAGATGTATTGCAAAAACCAATATTTCAAGCATCAGATTGTGGTATGAGAAGATGTATTGCAAACTAAGGAAGTTCAGAACTTACAGCAGCATTTTCGATTTCGGCACTGCTAACATTGCCATTTAAGCCATATGCAATATTCTCTTCGACGGAACAGTTAAAAAGGACGGGTTCTTGGCTCACAATGCTGACCTACAATTTGTGAGAAATTGTTTGTGATGGTCACCAAATTTGTGAGAAATTGTTTGTGATGGTCACGAGAGGTTCTCAACTCTACATAAACAAAAACATATATACAAAATCTAAAAATAGTTTGTGACCTACAATCAGTATGAGCTATGCTTGATGTTTTGCATGAGATCCTGCACTTGGTAATAGAAATTTAAGAAGTTTTTTTCTTGAGAAATTCAAACAGAATCATGTTGATGGTTTAAATGTCAAAGCTCTTCAATAAAGAAGAAACAAAGATGTAAAATAAACCAAAAATAGGCTCACAAAAGGGCGCTGCCATGCCATCCAAGATATCTACTATTTTTGTGGATGGATAATTTTGGTTCAATTAAAATTATTCATTAACCTTACGTCTCGTTTGATACGTGGGAATGAGTGGGAATGGAATGCCAATTCTCACTTCTCATTCCTTCCTACCAAACACAACCTCTTTTTTGAAATTGGAATGTCCATTCCCACTACTCACTGATTTCCACTTTATGTGGGAATGAGCATTCCCAATGAAATGGTAGGGAATGGGCATCCCCACTCAAGTGGGAATCAATAAAATACATAATTTTCAAATACGGCCCTTCCCACTTCATTCTATAAATTGCACCCAAACATGAGAATGAAAATAAGCATTTCATTCTCACATTAATTCCATTCTATTTTTTTAGTCCATTCAAATTTCACTTCACTCGATTCTCGCGTACCAGATGAGGCATTAAAAGAATAATTAAGCTTGACAAATCGAAATGATTGCAGATACAACTCTTTCAAAAGCCAATCTTAAAAATTGTTATCCAGGGACATTTTTCATTTCTTCTGTGTTCATGTTGTGCAGGCTAACATGTACTAGTACCTTATTAGTTCTAAACCACAAGAAACAAGATCATTAATAAAGAAGAAATGGTGTAAGAGACCTTGTGGGAATGTGTAAACTAGAGGGAATTAGGGCTGGGCTTCATAGGTAGAAGTTCCTTGTGAAGTGATAACAAAAATGGCATGACTAATGCAACTTTTAATGTTATAAAATTCATGTGAAATTGAAATACTACCTTGGAGGAATTGGGTCCTGAATTTCTAAGAAGCATCATTAATAAAGGAGAAAATGGTGTTTGAAGTCTTCAGATACATGTTCATTTAATGCTCAGATATTTCACCCTCGAAGTCTTTAGTTATATCGATTCCTTTTCTATGGGCATACATCTATTATCACATAAACATAAAGTTCATAAACTTCAATCAGTTATAAGAGAACATATGATAAAGCAAAAAATTATCACATTCAAGTTTCATGCTATATACCAGAAGATTGTAGCTACAATATGTCTATAACATAAATTACCTGTCTATGGAGATACAAATGCGAAATTTCCACCAGAGGAACTCCATCAAGTAAGATCTTCCCCTTGAGCGGGTCATAAAACCGTTCGATCAAATTTGCAATTGTAGTCTGCAGCAGCCATTGAGATACATATAAATGTGCAATATTCTACTAAATCATTTATCTGGGTTAAATATTAGACGAACAGAAATGTGATGTCTTTGTGCGTATGAAAATAAATTTACTTTTCCACCACCACTTGGTCCCACAAGTGCAACCTTTGATCCGGGTCTTAACTTTAAAGTAATTCCCTGCAGTGCATGACAGGTTCCAAAGATTAGATCATTTTAGTTGAATAAAGCATATAAATTACATGTACTTGTTTTTTTGGGATGCATCCAGTTTAGCTCTTCAGCTTTATTATCATTTTAAATTATAATGCAATTCCATATACTAAATCTATAATCTTTCACCTTTTCTAACACTTTTTAAAGTCAGAAAATTTTGAGGTGGCCAGTTGGAAGCACAAGCTTAATCTCAGACCGTAAACCCTTTTCGTCAACAATTTCCCTTGCCAGAAAATTTGTCATCAAGTCAGAGGTTGCAATAAGTGTTGAACATCGGTTTTAAAAACACTGCAAAATCTTTACGGAGCCTGGCCTCTGTAGCCAACCTCATATTTATGGTAAAGCTATATAATGATAGTGGTGGTGATGATAATTTACATTATTATTCTCTTGACTAGATTCATTTGTGATTGCCAACACTCATGGCCTTAAGAAATTTATCCTGACCTATCTACATCTGTAATCCTAAAGGTACTGTTTGGCAAGGGGTTAACGTAGAAGAATTGAGTAGAAGGTTTAAATTAGTTAACCCGTCATGAAGAGCTAAAAATAAATAAATTCCATCTGGATTAGATAGCTAAGGTGAAGGGCTAACATTTTTTGTTGCAATTAAAGAAGGGTTAAGGAGGTTAATGTTGCTGAGTTTTTTAAAGACACCAACTTTAATCTTATCAAAAGATTAAAAAATTACTAACATTTATATAAAAAATGTTCTCTCTCCAAAATGCACGCACACAAGAAATTAATCACTGTGCATGTTCATAATTTGTAAGTTTACTAATAATTATTACATTAAAATAAATTCGAATGTAAGGTTCACTATTATTTAGAATGTTAAATTATTTAATATTCACTACTAATTAGATTATTAAATTATTTAGTATATTATTCATATGTACTACGATCTTAAATAAGTAAAATATTATTGTCATGCTATTTTTTCTTTTGTAGTTCAAGAACATATTTTTAAACTGGACGCTTATTTCACTTTTTTTTTAAATGACTTTCACACTTTTAATCCACTTTCATTTTGCTGAACACCTCCCAAAGATCATGACCTCATAAAAAACCAAATGTTAGAGAAGGAAATTCAAATTTTACATAATTATTATTCAAAATTTTTAAGTTATAGCTAATATATATAATAGGGTAAATTACACAAAACTCCTGAGAACTTTCAGTGTTTTGCAGTGAACTCACAACTACTTTCAAAATCAAACTAAAACCCCAATAAGTTTCTACATATTGCAATGAACACCCAATAACTTTCAAAATCACACTAAACCCCCAATAACTTTCTGCATATTGCAGTCAACCTCAATAATTTTCCAAATCACACTAAACCCCCAATAATTTAACTTTGGAACTGCAGAAACCCCCAAAAGTTTCCCCATTTTGCAAATAAAATCAAAAAATAACAAAAAAAGGCATTTTGAAGGACAATTTCAGCAAAAAAAGAAAGAACAATTAGGGTTTGGGACCGCAATCAGGGCACAAGCAAGACGAGAATGAATGACAAAAGATATTTTTGTTTTTAGGGTTGTATAAAAAGATCATAAATGGGTTTTTAATAATTTAAGGGGTATTGTGGTCTTTTAAGTCACATGATTTGCACGTGCCACATCAGATGTAACAGTGTTAACATTGGGGGTTTTTCTGCAAAAGTTATTTGGGGTTTTGTGCGATTTTGAAAGTTATTGGGGGTTTACTTCTAAGCATTGAAAGCTCTTGGAGGTTTTGTGTGATTCGGAAAGTTATTGGGGTTTGCTGCAAAACATTGAAAGTTCTTAGAGGATTACTATAATTTAACCCATATTAACAAAGTTTTACAATGAGCTGTGTGAAAAATGTCAGAAGATCATAATGTTGTCTCTATGCAGCGGTATAGGAGCTACTGATCTTTGTGGAAAATTTTTTTCTGTTAACATCTTAAAAATTACAGCGATTGTCCTAAGGGAGAAAGACATGCTCACCCTTAATCTTTCTATCTTAGCAGAGTAGTTAACCCATCGAAATGATGGGTTAACTGAACTTAGTCTGTGCAACGGCTTAACTAACCCTTTGACCAAAAAAAAATCACATCTAGCAGGCTAATGACGGGTTAAAACTTTTTAACCCATCCACTAAACCAAATCCAAATGCAGCCAAAGAGTCTTGTGATCTGAGTCCCTAGTTGAAAGGAGTCGTGTGAGATGAAGGCCCTAGCTGACAGGAATGTACATTCTGAAATGATAAGAGCATCGGCAAGTACTAGCATGTCCAGGGATTCAACTGTAAAATAGTCCGTGATGCAATATAGTTGTACTATCAGCAAATGAAAGTTGAGCATGTAATTTCCTAAGGTAAGCCACTCAGCCAGGGATATAGATCTGTCTAGTGAATATAACTAAGGTGTACAATACTAAATTCGGTAACAAACCTGTCCTTAAAAGTTGTATAATATAAGTAAGAAATTAATATTTCAGTTTCTTCAGGATAAACAGATGCTTAAGGGCTTTAGCACTCTTTTTGTTGCAACAATATAATCCACATTTATTCTTACAAAGAAATCTGTTGCTGTATAGGATTTTTTGACCTGTGAATGAATTATCTCGATTTTCAACTACACGGAAAAGTAAACACAGAGAAGATGAGAGAACATTTTGCTTGATCACACTGCGCTAAAAATAAGTGCATAATTACCTTTAGTACCATTTGGTCAGGACGAGAAGGATAAGCGAACCAGACATCATCCAATTCAACATCTCCATTTTGTTCGCTACCAGTAAGCCACACCAACATTAGCACATATATCATCACTTATACTAAGAGAAGTGACTTAAGCAATTCTAAATAAAACATATATGGATGCAAACCTTATGGGACATTTATCTCCCGATTTTGGCATTGAGGACATGCGATCCAAAAGCTGAAACACTCTTCTGCTGGCACCGACAGCCTTCATCAGTGTCGTATATAATCCTGATAAAGAAGAAAGAGAAGAACCAACTGCAGGAACAAAAACACAGAATCGGAATCATTTATAGAAGTGTCACAGACTTTCATTTTTGTTGATGTAACTACTACGAATTAATTGAAGCACCATTGGTCCTTCAAAAACTACCTGTAAGGCTGTAAAGAATGAATGATGTGAGAGAACCAGGAGTCATGGACCCATTGATGGTTAGGTTAGCTCCATAAATCACTACAGTAACAACTGATAAAGTTGTCGCAGCATTCAGTCCTCCAGCAAAGAGACCAACAACTTTCTGTAGGAAAAAAGAATCTGAAAATGAAAAAAAGAAAATACAATTTTCTTTTTCAAATGTATGAAAATATCAGCCACCTGCTAAGGAACTCACAGCTTGTTTTAGCCCAAGCTTCAATGTCTCCTCTACTTTTTCAGAGTACCGGGAAATTTCATAATCCTCCTGTGCGAAAGACCTGACCGTACGTATTGCCCCAAAAGATTCCTGAACAGGAAATGCACAAGAGAAGTATTCAGCTACTTAATTATATTTCTACTCGACTGTGGTCTCCAATGTATAATTTGCAGCATCCCGGTCCCTTTGGATAGTATATAATATCCTAGTATTGATTGGTAACGTCCATATCAGATATAGAATTATACCATTTACATAGGAAGGAAACAGATATGGTTTTTGGGCTTCGCAAAAAAGACTATGGGATAAAAGATCAAATATAAATCAAATTTATGCAGAAAGTCCAAAGAAGAGAATTTAAATCCATAAGCTATCTAACAAAGATTGAGTACTAATTTTAAGTGAAAAGAACAAATAAAATGACAGGAAGCTACTATTTACAAAAGAAATCCTTTAATTTGGTGAAACCAGTATAAACAGGTATGGCAAACAAACCTCAGCTATAGAAGCTGCGACAGCAGCTGCAGCTTGAGTCTTATGAGAAAGTTCACGAAGGAAACGCCCAAATTTGCGCACTGCAATAGAAACACCTGGCACAATGACCAGTGCCAACACTGTTGAAAGAGACAATATGATTAGCATAATGGGTAACTTAAATATTATCATATATGTTTAGTATGAGTCAAGAAGAAAGTGGATTTGAGATGGGATATGGGGGTGTGTTGGAGGGTGCGCCTGCGCAACTTACTGAAATAAGAAATAGATTATTAAGGAGGTAGGAAAGAATGACTTCTTTCATGATAACCAACAACTATGCATGGATTGGTACCTCTCCATGTTATGGAGGCATGACTATGGGAGGATGAAGTTCCCCAAAACATGCTTACAATTGTAGTCAATTACATAATTAACTTTCTAAGTGCTTTTTTATCATAATTTCCAAAACGTCATGCTTATATTGGTTGATATAATTATAGATATGGCCAAATAATAGTAATAATAGGCAACACTGTCATACAGAGTACGTATGCATTATGAAAGGGTTTAAAGGGAAGATCTGATTGAAGTATTACACGATTTGCAGTTTGCAAACATCACCTACACGTTAATTTCCATGATGTTGAAAACATAAAAACTAGACCAATGAGAGCTGTAGAGAGACTGCGCAGGGCCTCTGAAAGATTAGTTGTTGCTGCATTTTTTATGATCTGTGTATCTTCAGATAGTCTACTTAGTAGCTCTCCTGTTCGAGTAACATCAAAAAATGCTATTTCCTGTCAGAAAAAGTTTTAAAAGGTTATGCCAATAGAAATGTTTATGAATAATAAAATAAGCAATTTTTTATTTGGATAGTACGTACTTGGTTAATAAGATGCCTAAATAAGTTCTTCCTCAAGCGAGCAACTACCCTTTCACTGGCAGAATTAAACAACCATGCCCTCAATACAGTGCAAACAGATCTACATGAAAAAAAAGAGGAATCAGTTCTCTGATTTTTATTACCAACTTCTACAAAATTCTAGTTTAACCAAAACCCTTCTTCATGTAATCTTCGAACCCAATCTTGCACCAAAAAACCATCTACATTTGGCAATCTGCTAACACGAAATTATGCAAAGAATCTTTTATTCCTCCTCAGTTACGAATAAATTCGGAAATTCAGAACTACATAAAAAGATAATAGAGCATTCACATCATTTTTTGTAACATTACTGTGCACATTGTCATATTTCAGAAACTGGGTACATGCTTGAGGAAAGAGAGGGTTATGGTCCTGCGGCCACTTGGTTAATCGTCAAAGTAATCAGTTTTGGAAATTTGGTACTACATTAAAATAAAATGATCAAGCCAGTTGTTTGGTATATAATAACTCAGGTTCATATATTAAATACAAGTTTTAAGTTCTGACATTTTAAGTTTTCATTTAAGAAAGATATGCATGGTCTTTTCTTTTCTAGGACAACCAATCCTTGTATACGACTGACAGCAAGATGATTTTTCATGCCATTGCAGTTTAAATGGGTTATGACTCCATTGAATCAATAGGCAATCAGTTCACTAATAGTATATGTGAGGTATGTACAAGAATAGCCAACATCAATGTAGGTAACTGCAAGCAATTTTTCTACGAGACCAGACTAAATTTTACCATCACAATAAGAGATTGCAAGAGGCATTATACCCTATAATAACTATCAGCACAATACTCAGTACTGTGTTCTTTACGGCATCTAGAGCTTGACCTTTCTCTTCTGGCTCTCTGACATCTCTTGACACAATGTCTATTATCATACCACCAAATTTCGGCTGCAACAAACAAAGGAAATCATGAGGATATGGCTTATAAATGCAGCATATAACAGCTATTAAGCCACACCACAAGAAAATATCACTTGCAGTTCATCTTGAAAAACATATCATGATATAGTGTTTAGACTCATGTTACACACAATTCCAACTGCTGAATTTTATTCTTTAGGACGCATGCCCTTAGTTTAAGGGAGAAAGGTAAGAGGTACTCTAAAAAGGCGCTTCTACAAGTTCAAAAATGATGGATGACTCTCCTATAGAAACTTGCTCACTCAAATTAGTCGCATGGCGTTGTGTATGTTCTTTTTTTTTTGGGATAAACAGTCGGTAGTTTCCACTCTAAACCGTAGTAATGGATGTGACCAATAAAATACAAATATTGTTGAGCCCGCTGTTTACAATATAATATCTATGATTAATTGATTGGACTGAGCAATGGATTACTTATAATTTCATTGCTCAGTCCAATCAATTAATCATAGATATTAAATTGTAAACAGCGGGCTCAACAATATTTGTATTTTATTGGTCACATCCTTTACTACGGTTTAGAGTGGAAACTACCAACCGTACAAATTATTGTCATGATTAGAACACTTATGCAGGAAGACATGAAATACTCTCACGGTCTTACCACACACTTGGAGAATTTAAAAGTAACTATGACTAATCATGTAGTCCAGGCGAAAGGCAGAATGGTTACTCTATAAAGGAGGAGCAAATGCGCTGGAGTACTAATCAGATTTTCAGAAGTCTGAGATGGTGAACTTTCAAAAACAGGAGGAAAATTTCATGTGATATTATAATCTTGAAAATGTATGCGCTGGTTGTTAGGTAGACTTGAGACAAGTGTTCCTATCTGGGAAAGGGTAATTTACTATCCATGCATACCACAAATATCAAATATAGACCTCGCGATACAACTACAAATAGAACCATAGACTTCATCATCAAGTGAATGAGAAATGAACAGACACACATCTAACAAATAAGTTATACTCTTCATGTTTTAGTGGACGGTAAGATACAACAAATTCATCCCTTAATCTAGACCGTGTCTGATACAAATTACAAATCCAATACAGGAGTGATGGACTTATAAGTTGCTCACCAGATAGTTATCAGCATGCACTTTGCATTATATTCTTTCATTCAATATGCCATCAGTGTGTACAAGATATTTCATCATTTAAAAGGAAATTCTAAACTTATGACACGACAGAAAGATCAGAGTAGCCTTACTGCTTTGAATCCAAGTAGAATGATATAATCTTCTTAGTGATCTATATCTATGCTTGGAAAAGAGTGAAAGGGTGACGTATATGATGTGTTATTTTTCTCTTAGCATTTTACATTTAAGCTAAAACCATGTTCCCCAACAGGGCTCCTCAAAAGAATAAGACTTGGGACCTGTTGCATCCAAATAAATACTTCAATCAACTTCTATCACGTCCTTGGACAAAGCATATATCTTCCTTCCCTTTTTTCCCATTACTTTTGAGAATGCAGCAAAAATGAGAATGTTATGATGGATCAGTGGATATACACTAAGAGATAGGATAAGAAATGAGTGCATTTGTAGGAAGCTAGAGGCTGGGGCTATTGAGGACAAAATGAGATAGAATCGTTTCTGACGATTTTGTCATGTGCAACGGAGTCTATTAAATACACCAATTAAGAAAAGTGATGAGATTATAATTAATGGGGAAAGAAAGGCTGGAGATAGCTAAAAGAACCTGGTTAGAAGCTGCGAAGTAGGACATATAAAGATTAAATTATTGGAGACATAGCCTTCAATAGAACTGAGTGGAAGAGTAGGATTCATGTAGTTGACCTCACAAGTTGGGGATAACTGATAAGGGCTTCAAAGTTGGTGCTGTTGTAGAGAGAAAACAAGTTACGTACCATAAATGTAAGTAATATGTTCTTTTGAAGGAACATTCTTGTGAAGCAAGTGGTATTTACAAAGACAAACTTATGCAATACTGGTAGGTACTTGAAGTAATTAAAGTAAATCTGAGAAAGTAAAAGGCACATCAAAACTATTAACTTGGTATTATTTAATATGTACGTTGCCTTTCTCGTAATTAAAAAAAATCCACTTAATACTGATGTTTGCTGGGGAAAATTATGAAATACAAAAAAAATAATAATAAATAATAAATAAACGAAGCAATAAAAACCATTTACAAAGAATACCTACAACTAGAATATTGGACATAGATGCTATCAACAATGCTATGGTGGCAATAACCAGCCGTCCTGCATCTGGTTTTGCCTGCAATTGAATAACAAGAACGTGCATTAAAACACACACGTATGCAATTGCAAAATGCGAAACAAAAATAAGGGTCTCATTCTTACCAGCCGCAGAACCCTACAAACCCCAACATTTGCAGGCTGAAGTTTAAGAAATGCAAACTTTATCAGCATCATCGTTATCGAGAAGCAAATATTAAGAGAGAAAATAGGGGATAAAGCTATAGAACCTGCACTGCATCCCCATGCTCGAGATCTGACAGAGCAGGGGCTGATGATTCCTAGACAGTGCAACCGCGATTAGAAAAGATAGTAATCATCATAGTAATAGTAAAAACAAACAACCCTTATCTAAATTTCTACCAAAAATATGTTTCCCAATTACCTTTCCCCGAAAAATCAACCAACATATGAAGATGGGTCTCTCTCTCAATTCTCAAATCAAAAGACTAGCAACAGAACACCGAATTTCCGAACCTCAAAAATGAAGCTAAAAGGCTTTACTAATTCATGAACCAATCAACAAGAGAAGAAATGATATCGTGGTAACACTTGCCGGCAAACCCTTATCCGGTTTCTATTGAGAATGTGTCTCCCAATTACAGTTGCCCGAAAAATCAACCAAAATATGAACACATGGGTCTCGCTTAAATAAATAAAAAATAACGATGGTGAACCCAAATTCTAAGGTAACCCAGTAGGCCAAACCTCAAACGAACCTCAAAGCATCTATCTTCCACTAAACAAACAGTGATAAATAAAACCAGGGTGAGACTGACAAAACCCTTGTCCCAATTAGCAAGTTCCCAAACAAATCAACCAAAAATGAGAACACGGGTCCCCCCCTCAGATTGACAAGAGGAGCAATTGCAACTGCAATCGTAGTTCAAAACAATACCTGTTGTCCGTTCACGAGAGGGTCCCTGAGAGTACTGGAGGTTGCAGTCTTGATCCTCAGATTCTTCCCCATCTCCCTCTCCCTCTCTCCTTCTCTGCTGACGAATCAGAGGAACGAACTTTGTTTTGTGAGTCAGTCGACGGACCACTTAAAAAGTTTTGATTTTGATCCTTTTTTGTGGGTGGGACTCATTGGATATTCATTCTTGATCCGTTGGTCGTTGGAATTTTGATCGGATGCTTTTTTTTTGTTTTCTCGACCGAAGGGGACGAGGGTGAGGGACGTGGAGCCAAGAAGAGCATTTATTAGTAAATGGCTCTGTACTCGTGGAAAATTGCGGCAAGGACTGTGCCTTTTGAGTCTTTTTCTTTTTAATTTTAATAATTTTATTTGCATAATATGTATACAAATATACCATCTGCATCTCAATGTTTGCAAAATACCCTTCAAATCATCTTGCAAAGTTGCCCTCAAATTTACTATGCTTGCAAAGTTGCCCTTAAATTTGCGAATTTGCTAATTTACCCTGATTAGGGCTGAGCACGGTTCGGTCCAAACCGAAAAAACCGACCGAACCGACTCGAAAAAATCGATTTTAAAAGTAGGACGGTTCGGGTCGGGTTGAAAACTTTTCAACCCACCCGAACCGACCGAATACCCAATGGTCTAAATACCAATTCTGCTCAAACTCGACTCGTCCCCAAAGAAAAAAGTCTCACTCTCAAACCCTAAACACCTAAACTTCCTTTCCCCCTTTCCCAGCCGCCTCCTCAGTTCTTCTCTCTCACTCTCTCTCACTCCTCAGTCCTCAGTTCCACGGTCCACCTCTCTCACTTCCTCTTCATCTTCCTCACTTCCGCAGTCTTCATGGCCGAGGTCGAAACATCTCCTCAGGCTCAGGATCCATCTCCGGCTTTGGGGGGGACACCCGCACCCGTCGTCGTCGCCGAGGCCGATGTATAAACTTTATCTTTTGCTCTTCTTCAAGCTTCTGATTGCGATTATTCTTTAATTTTGATTTATTTCCTTGGATACAGCAGCTAGTAAGTTGAGATATCGGCCTATCAGTTTCATGTTCATTTATGCACTCCTATTCTCTTATGATTTCTGAGTTTGTGCTTTGATAACGATCCTTAATTTGTTTTCTGGTATATATGTTTTCATGGATGATGATTTTGTTCCTTTTTTTCCCCTCTTGTTTTTCCAAATTAAGTCGGCAACCACTGAAATACTACTATTTAATATTCATGGGATCTCTTATCTGTCACGATATATTCTATTTGATTTAGCATTTGACAAGTCTACTGTTTAAGTCATTCTGAAAATGAAGTTAGAACCGAACAAACCGAACCGCACCGCACCGAACCGACTTGCAACGGTTCGGTTCGGTTTTGAATTATATGCGGTTCGGTTCGGTTGTTCAAAATTTGGTAAAAACCGACCCGAACCGAACCGTGCTCAGCCCTAAGCCTGATGCATTGTAGATTGGATTTATACCCATCTCACTAGAGGACTACTGCTGACACATAAATGTTTTTTTAAAGATGGATTATTTTTGAGTTAAACACGCGCCTCAATTTTTTCATTTTTATTTTTATTTTTTCATAGCTACATTGAGGTCAAGCTTACACGTGCTCATAATCAAAATGAAAGCACAATTAAACAATAAATTCAGGAGATCTTCAGCTCATATCTAGGCCGCTGAGAACTTCTTGTAGCCAAAATAGTGTATCAATGAGCTTTTCCCTCCACGTCATTTGATTGGGATTTGATAAATCACTAACAACAGCATCCGAAGGGAGGAAAGTCCTCAGGAGTCAGGACCTTGACGCCTCGTTTCGTACGCGAGAATGAACATAAGTGAGAATGGAATGGAAGAAGGAATGGAATGGATTGTATGTGGGAATGGAATGGTCATTCCCATTCTCATGTTTGGGTACTTTTGTAGAATGAGGCTAGAATGAAAATCTCGTTCTCATTCCCATGTTTGGTATCACTTGTCCACAAGTGAGAATGAAATCGTATTTTCTAATAATGTCCTTACAACAACATATATTTTTAATAAGATAAAAATAAACATTAATAATAATAACTAAACAATTTTATTTATGCATATGTTATACTAATTTCTGTGCATGTTATACTATTGCGCATGTTATCTCTCAAGTGTATGTTCTATTTATATTTTTTAAACAATACTCACTATTTCTTAGTCTTAAAAAATTAAAGAAAAATAAATAAAAGATTATCGCATCTTTCATAGGTCCAAAAAAAATATAAGAATGATATCCACAGTTGATGCATATTGCATATGAAAAGGATGTCAGAATTACTAATGTGGAAATTAGTTGATTAATAGGGGTATAATTAAAAAATAAATAACTGATTTGATTCTCTCTTGAATGGGAATGACCATTCCCTATCTTCTCACTTGGAATGCCCATTCCCACAAAAAGTGAGAATGGTCATTCCCTGGGAATGGTCATTCCAACATCTAAAAAGTTGATTTGTTTGGTATGAAGGAATGAGAAGTGAGAATGCCATTCCATTCCACCCCATTCCCGCCTACCAAACGAGGCCTGAGAGTCCACGGTCTCGGCAATCCTTGATCGGACCACAATGGTACCTGTGAGCCGCTCCCAATTTGCCATGCATCTTGACCCGGTCTCAATCTTTGTAGCGAAAATACTCCGCCGTATAAATGATGGTCTATGACCAAGCTGAGCCTTAAGGCCTCGTTTGGTACGCGGGAATGGGGTGGAATGGAATGGTCATTCTCACTTCTCATTCCTTCCTACCAAACACACCCACTTTTTTAAAGTTGTAATGTCCATTCCCACTTCTCATCAATTCTCACTTTATGTGGGAATGAGCATTCCCAATGAAATGATAGGGAATGAGCATTCCCACTTAAATGAGAATCAATAAAATATACAATTTAAAATACGTCAATTCCCACTTCATTTTATAAATTACACCCAAACATGAGAATGAGAATGACTATTCCATTCTCACATTAATTCCATTCCATTCCTTCTTCCATTCCATTCTCATTTGAGTCCATTCCCGCGTACCAAACGAGACGTAAAAGGAAATGTCCCTCTTTAAAATATTTTGAGCTTAGAACCTTGTAAAAAGAAGTCTCTCTATTTAAAATATTTTGAGCTTATATTGTCACGCTCCCGTTCCAAAATGTAATAACTTGGAACGTGACTCGGCCGACAATGCAACCGTCCGGTCACATTCACGCCTCTAGCTAGATCATCCTGCATGTAGATATAAAGCCAAAACTACACCATAGAGCATGTAACTAAGACAATAAAAGGAATATATAGATGAAGAAATCTACAAAAGGACGGAGTCCAACTACGAGTTCACAACTATCCACAAAGGGAAATGGTAATAAAAAAATTTACATCATGCTCTAGAAAAAAAATCACATATGACTCAAGAAAAAGTCTAAACCAAATAACTACCTAAACCAACTGAACTGAAGAACCGATGGACTAAAAGGTGATCACTGTCGTTGGACTTGCTCCTTAAAATATTCTCGATCCTACGAAGAAAGAACAGTTCCCGAGTCTGGGGTGCGCAAACTCCAGGGGAGTCAGGAAACTCCCAACAAGCATGTAAAATGAAGGAATTGTACGCGTGTAAGTGTATGTAGCAGGTATAAAGAAAAGATGAAAACTCAATTAAAGGTGATAAAGAAAAATGCTAATTGTAGATATCAAACAAGGTCTACCACAAGACACACAAGCATATTATTATTATTTTAAGTGTTATTTGAATTAGAGAAGAATATTTTCATGTGTATAAGTCGAGCTCCCGTAAACCCGGGAACACGGCTTCAAGTCAGGATTGACCCTTAGCTCTTATATATATAAATCTGGATATCAAGAATGCGCATCAGCCCGCTGATATACACGTTATATTCTTTGTCCAATTCCCCTTTATAAACCCCACATTTATTCATTTATTTTAAGTGGTTGTGCATGAAATATTGTTTAACCACAGAGTTACCTTGGAACAACTTTTGTAAAATTTACGAAAACTAACTGTGAACCAAAACATGTCCAATTGAGATGAGTGCATCATCTAGCCAATGCTATTATAATAATAGTAATAATTAAGAGAAACTCCTCACATCGGAATATCGATGATACGTGTGTATCTTCTCTTTGGAACTTAATAATCCTCATGGGAGCTTGAAGATAGATGATTCTCATGATAACTTGAGAATATAGGTGTAAAACAACACAGTGGAACGCAGGTTGAAGCGTGAAACGAGACGGCGAATCGAATAATCAAAGCATCCAGTTTTCAGCCCGTGTGTCGACTCATACATGTACATGAGTCGACTCATCAGGTTGAGTCGACTTATGCCTGTCATGAGTCGACTCATGAAACCCAGTCGTTTTGTCGAAAGTTTCTAGAGTCGACTCACCTCATCATGAGTCGACTCACCTCATCATGAGTCGACTCACTTAGCATGAGTCGACTCATGCATGTTTATGAGTCAACTCATCGACGGTTTCCTGGTTCGTTTGGGTTTCTATTTGCACGAATTCCTGTAGGATTTAGGATTGGTTATTTACCACTTTGCCATCCACGTTGTTACACCTATAAAAGGGGTTGTTTAGGGTTTCTAATCAATCAGATGTAATCAAAGAGAGACTCTAATCAAGAGAGATTAGAGTTTAGAAAGAATTGAAAGTTTATTCTCGATTCTAGTGAGATTGTGAGAGAAGGATTATAATTTTTTTATACTCATAATCTAGAGAGGATATTTTCATTCACCACATACTGAATTATTCTTGTGTTTCTGTCATCCTATTCTCAACCCACCTTTGATAATTCCGCGATCAAAGATTCTCGTACGGCGACTCGTATCAAGTTGCTATCAGAGCGATCAGATCCTGTGAAGAAGGCATCATGTGTATGATCCTGACTCGATCGTAATACAAGAAGCTATGCGAGATCCTTATTTCATTGGAAGGAGTCCGGAAATTAAGGAAGAAGAAGATGACTGAAGGAAATTGAGTAAGGAAAGGCTAAAGGGAGAAGAGAATAAGTTGAAACCTATACGTTATGGTCTGTTTCGGATTCTCGATCAGATTAGTGACAACGCCTTCAAGCTGGATTTGCCACCTTACTTAGGCATGTATTCGGTGATCAATGCCGAGTATTTGAAGTTGTTCGAGCCTCCATTGCTGGATGATGAAGGTGACGACAAGGTGATCTTTGCCGTATGTTGAAGACTTGTGGTTTTATAGAGAGGAGCCCCTGAAG